GTCGCTTTTTTTTTTCTTCTTCTATGCGCACAGCTTCATCGCGTAAGGTATACGCGCTCGGCGAGAAAGCGCGTGATGCCGTTGGAAACGTAACGCCGCTCACGGCGAGAAAGACTATCACTCTGCACACTCATCGCGAGGCGCCAGTGGCATCGGAATTTTCCCACTCTTTTGTGCACTACTTTTTTCTTATTATATGCGCGTACCTAAACCTGACCCTCTCGCAATCTACTCCTTCCTTCTTGAAGAGCGAGAAAGAGAGAAGCAAAACATTAGAAGCACGCAGAAGTTAGGCGAAGCACGTTTTTGTATGCGTTCAGATGCCTCAACGTAACAACCATGCGAAGTAACAAGAAAAAAAAAAAGCGATGAAAGTGATTGTAATTGTCGTGCACGAAGTAAGCAAGGAAAAAAGACACTTAATGCTAAAATATAACTTACAATTACGGTAAAGAAAAAAAAAACACATTATCGCGATACTATACCATTTTTTTACGTTCGGTTGTTCTTCTGTGCTTGCTCAAGTACACATATTCGATGCAATTTTCTGGTGAAGCGCGATTCTCAGTTCGCGGTGATGTCTGCTGGGCAGGTATATGGACCAAACCTCATAAGCGCGAAAATGCACGCGACAGCGACGAGCGACGCGACGTAGATCGTCTTCGCGCGATCACTCGCTAGCACAGGCGAACCTCATTCACGCGACGGCTTCGGCGAGCGAATTCCACTGTTGCTGGCATGAGGCCGTCTACTCGCACCAAGAAAAGCGCGTAGCGAGCGGTATGCAATTTAAAAATAAGATATATTGTTGTGTAATGAAACGAAAAGTGTTTATTATTGCCTTGCAGCACTTTTTCATATGCACATGCGTAATAAACATTGTGTTATTTCTTATTGCGCATACGTGACTCGGGCAGGGTCACGTGCACCTATGTAGTCTTTGTCTTTTCCCGTTTTTCGCTATTGGCTGCTTGAGCCCAGCACTTCCGGGCGATGAGCGACGGTTTCCAAATCTGGAGAACCGAGCGATCGCGCGAAAACGAGCACGCGACACGTCGCGCGAACGCCCTGTTTCGTCGCTCATAGCGTCGCTCGTCGCTGTCGCGTGCATTTTCGCACTTATGAGGTTTGCTCTTATCTCTTTCCCGTAATGCGCTATACCAGTTCAAGGACGACGAACCAACTCAACCAGTTTTCAAAACTTGCGAACTTTCTTGACTAGTTCAGAATGAAATTTGAGGAAAGGAATCAAAGGAGTGGGTCATTAGGCCGAGGACAATAAAAACAGCACATTCGATTATCAACGAGTAAAAGTGGAAATAAACAAGTTTATGCGGCAATTCAAAGAGAATCTCGAGCCACCGAAGACGCTCTCGTATGCGACACATTCTTGCGGTGGCTGACGACAGAAATGGTGTCAATTAAGCGACAAATTTCAAACTTTGGGGCTATCATTTCCCACCTGGCATTCCGAATCGACTCTAAAAGAAGGATCTGAAACAGCATCGTGGTGTGCATCGATGTGTTTGTGCGTGGCGTGAATAGCACGGCGGTGTGCTCCGGCCGGGGCAGCTCGGAAAGCGGGTCACTGCCGTCGTGGCGCATCCCGCGTCGTCGTCGTCCTTGAAGCTGTGTACCACAAGAAGGCGCCACGAAAGTTTCGGTCCGTTTAAGAGGATCACGCGGCCCGACCCCGAAGAATTGGGCGAGCGGCTATAAACTGCTGCGCGTTTCAAGAAGCTGTCTAATCGTCGCGTCACTTGCGAAACCGCAGTTCCGATTCTGCTCCGTCACCGATTCGCGCTATAGCTAACGAAAGCGTATTATTTCTGAAGTAGGAGTCATATTTCGCTGGCGGAGCGAAGCTCGATATCTCGCATCAAATTCCGTGTCCACGCTAACGGACTTGCGGCGATCGTCCCTATTGTCCACGGAGGTGGCAGTGGTGCGTACGTCCACTCCTCGTGTTCATTCGCACCTCCTTGTGGCTTTCGAGTGGCTAGCTGTGCTAGTCGTGACACTGATCTTTGATGCAGTTGCAGTGCTTCACAGAAGTGGGAGGTAAAAACACGCAGACAAAGTTATTCATATGTGCGGTTTAACGTCCTAAAGCCACCATATGATTATGAGAGACGCCGTAGTGGAGGACTCCAGAATTGTCGACCATCTGTGCGGTTTAACGTCCTAAAGCCACCATATGATTATGAGAGACGCCGTAGTGGAGGACTCCAGAATTGTCGACCATCTGGGGTTCTTTAACCTGTACCCAAATATGAGCCCGCGGAACACGCAGACAAGGAAAGACTAAAGAACAATGAGAACGTTGGTTTTTGAATTGTGGTGTGGTGCAGAAGGAACAAATTTCCGTATTATTTGATCACGTTATGACAGACGGCAGCATAGTAATAGATCAGCAGGTGTTGCACTAACCAAAATGTACGACAGACAAGTTCTCAAGACAATAATATATTCCTTGCCGGACGAGTATGAGGACGAAATAAAAAGGCATTTGATTTACCACCATATGGTTCATCATCATCATCAGCCGGACTACGTCCAGGCTGATCATTATGACCATATGATTATGAGACATATGATTATATGCTGTGTTTATCTCTCTTTCCTCTCTCCTCCCTATCTTTCATCTCCCCCATCCCCCTCATATGCGCAGGGTAGCAAGCCGGCTGCCTATAGGCTGGTTAACCTCCCTGCCGTTCTTTTCCTGCTATTTTCCTTCCTTCCGTATTGGCGTGCTCCAGAAATTTTGACCATCTGGGGTTCTTTATCGTGCACCCAAATCTGAGCACATGGGCCTATAACATTTTCGACTCCATCGGAAATGCAGCCGCCGCAGCCGGGAATCGATCCCGCGAACCACGTGTCAGCAGCCGAGTACCTTAGCCACTAGACAACCGCGGCGGGGCATACCGAAAACGAGACAGATTATTTTTCTGGGAACTTTTGTCGTGCATTTTTATAAGTGGCCCCATACAAGCACCACGCTTCCTATACCAGTGCTTGTTTGCCATGATCAGCTATAGTATAACCTATTTCTTCTGCACAATAATATTATATTAGTATTTCTGCACAGAATGTTATTAGTGTTCTGTATGCGATAGTAATAACAACAGCATTTTTACAGTTTATTTTTAAGTCTTCGTGTTTGTTTCTCTTATGCACTGAATATCCATTGTGTGCTCCGTATTTCTATTTTTTTCACTCTCCTATACTATCTTCCTAAGGGCACTGAGCCTTAGGGCCACAGAAGATAGAGTTGACGCTTGCGCAAGTTGGTGAAGATCCGCAACTGGATGTTAACGGCCCATGCAAAGTTGGGAAAGGAAGCTCCAAATAGAGGCAGAAAAAAAATGCCCGTTTGTTCTGTCCCTAACTTTTCCCACGTTCTCGAGATGTTGTAAAGCAGAAGATAGCATTACCTTTAATTCTCCACCACCACAATACAGCGATCCCGTGAGTCAATGCCTGCGCGATTGTGCCCTTCAAATTTTGCAGACAGTGAGAGCTCCCGCGCTGTGCTTGTCCTTGGGTAACCTGTAAATAATGCTCCTGCAAACCTTGTCTCATATCAGTAAACTGCTCTTTTAAGATTCGCAAATGACATGCCTGTGGCGAGAAGACGCTTCTCGATGATCGAGAAAATGCCGATGGTGACGCCGCCTTGGAGTTCTCGCACCAGTCGATGTGACGTCATATATTATGAAGGTGTCTATATTAGGGCTTCCGTAGTTACAAACCGTCACGGATGACATGCAATGTCTTCTCAGGGAGCAATAAACCTCACATGTCAAGTTTCAGGCAATTCAGTTCAGCCAATGCAAATAGAATAAGGAAAAAAAAAAACGAATTTCGCGTTGTCACCATCAGCGATTGCGGCGGAGATTTTAAAACCGAGACATTTGACACTAATTATCTCGTCTATGATCAACATGCAGCTGTGAAATCAACGCTGTCGATTTTCAGAGTAAAAATTATCAGTGTAAATTAATTCAATGTGTCCCTGCAGTGCGTCTTTAAAAAGGGTAATAGGGATCGCGACACACTTTCCAGAGGCTTTGGATGTTTTAAAATATGTTTTGCGGTGTGTTGTAGAAAACAATAGAGAGCGTCAAACACAATATATGTAGAAAGATGAGCTTACTTTATCACCCTCAAACACGCCTGACGACTGGTAAAATTTAGGTCGAAGTCTCTGTTTTGTTTCATTGTCATTCGACAAAATCGAGTAGCTTAGGAACGTAGGAGTTTGTACAGGAGTACTTTAAAAACGAAAAGAAAATTGGACAAGGTGTGAGGTCGGTAAAAAGTGCTGTTTTCGACCCTTTTGTATTAAAAAGAGCACCTTAAAATGAGCAAAGAACTAGGTAAATTCTTTTTTTTTTCAATGAGATCGGTTGTGTAGCGTACACTCGAGGAGAAAAAAAAAGGTGTCCTTTGACTCCCCTTTTGTACATGTGTTGCACTCTGTTTAGAACAGTCGTTCATGGACTCTACTCGGGAAGTAAAAACAGCGCAAAAATATAGACAAGGACAGAGGAAGAGACAGACTCGCGTCGTGTCGTCTCTTCCTATGTCCTTGTCTATGTTTTTGCACTGTTTTTACTTCCCAAGTATGAACCACCAACTAGCCCAACTTTCGCTATTAATGCAATCATTGACTATATTTCGGAAATTCGTGCGTCCCACGACTCCTCTAAAAAAGTCAATGTGCGTCCCTAAAGGGACTGCTTCACACTTGTATCGCGCATGCACAAAATGAGAGCCAGAGTTGTGCGAGCACGATAGGCGCTCTTGGTTTTATTATTATTATTATTGTGTTCGCGGTTCTCTAGGCCTAGATGACTTGCAAAAACATACTAAAAAATCGAGGAAAAAAGAAGGCTTGGTGTCATTCAGTCGATAATTTGTTTTCTATCACTACAAGTTTCATTTTTTTCTTTATTGTTTGCCCCTTTTTTGTGTGAATTGTGCTTTCCTTGCAGGCTGACAACAAGCTTCAACCACCCAGCTCGCAAAATGAGGAGTTCGCGGCTCTCGACGCTAAACAGCAGCAGGTACCTTAGCTGTCTTCGTATACGAGGGATAAGCCAGTCACCCGTCTTTCTCATTCTATCACTTTTCTTCAATTTCTTTATTTAGCGCTTAAGCAATGTTTCTTGGTTGATATGTGGAGTTTAACGTTCCAAAAGCAATGTTTCTTAGCCTGGAGCAATCAGTGGTATGTTAACGGTTATAATACACGCTGTATTGGAGACGCAGCAACTAAGGGGTGCCTGAAACGTTTTGTGCGCGGTTCTGCTGGCAGCTGGGCACGTGTGGGTGTTAGGGTGCGGGAATGACGTAACCGAATGCGCCAGCAGCACCTGCGGACGCCTTGCGAAGGTTACGTGCCTACGTTTTGAGAGAGCCATGGATGGGTGCATTGTCTAATCTTGCAATCGTCTTGTCGTGGTCAACGGTGGCAGGCACGGATAGGCATCATTCTGACTGAGCATAACACGTCATATCTGGCCCAAAAACCGGTCGTGGTCTCTCTCTCTCTTTCTTTCTTCCTTTCTTTCTTTCTTTCTTTCTTTCTTCCTTCCTTTATTTATTTATTTATTTATTTATTTATTTCTCCCATAGTCATGACAGTTCCCATACAATACAGAATATACATGGAACGAAATGAATGCAACAAAAAATTAGGTGAAGAAAAGCACAATAATTACTTCTTTGAAATGTTGCGCAGTAATTATGACGTGTATTGACGTCAGAAATGCGATGATAGGGGCTTGTTGGTTCACGGCGGCTTGGCGATTCGCTTGTGATAGGGTATGCAGGGATATTTTTCGGTGGGAGAGGGTACACTTATTGAAAACCTTGAAAAACACCTATTTTCATTATTTATTCTCGATAAACCCCCCCCCCCCCATTCCCCCCAAACACACCCCACCATCAAAATTTCAGGGGAAGGGGGGTGCCCTAGGGCACCCTTCTGGTTACGGCGATAGTTATAGCACGAGAACATAACGACGACAAAGAGATAAGAATGAGACGAGCGCTCGTGTCCTTCGTGTCCTTCTTGCCTCTGTGTCGTCGTTCTGTTCTCGCGCTATAACTATCGTCATGTCATACCAACTAGCCCAAACTGCCACACTTCTGGTTACGGGCCAGGGTAACACTACAATGAAAACGCGACACAGTTTACCATTACATGTGCCAGCTCTAGTAAGTTGATTGTTCATAGTGGACATAAATAAAGTTCAAGTAAAATGCTCAATTCTTTCCACGTGCTTCTTGAAATTTATTTACGTCAACCACGCATGAACGATGAGGCAGTTGAAGTTTGCGTTCGTCCTGTTAAGCTATGTCTTGTGTAGGATGACGTCACTATTGCGGGAGACGGAAGCTTTCACCTTATCGTATGAGTGACCTCTTAGGCTGGCCGTATCAGCCATGCGACGACACATAGTTTCTGGCGTGAGTCACCTCGAACCCATTATCTGCCGTTGAATGAGCCGCACTTCCTTTTGTTGACCGTTCTCTCTCTCCTTATCGGTGAACGCGACGTATCTGTCACTGGCGCCTCCACGCGCTTGTCTCTCGAGGAATCGTCTACCGGCCTTGTACGATCGGGCTCCCTTAGCATTTCTTGCTAATTTGACTCATACATGTTTGCCGCGTATGAGACTGCGCCAAATGTCTTCCAAGTATTCCTGGGTCATCTTAAAGGGGCCATGACACGGTCACCCGAACATTTGTGGTTTTTCAGCGAAAACTTGGTATACGTATACATTATGCCTATGCAGATATAAAAAGTGCGCCGTAAAGTCACTCTACTAAATAATATATCAGTACAAAACAGGCCCTAGAAGTCACCGGCTGCCAATTCCCCTATCGCCGGCGACCGCCATTATGCAGTGGCGCTTGTAACATCTCGTGCAGCAAGGAGTGGCGCCGTCGTCGTCTGTATACCACAGTTTCAGCCGCTCCCAATCATTCAACTTCAGCGCCAAAGAGAGAAAAAATACAAATATCTCGATATTACGCACTGCTGACTACGGAAAAATGAAGCTCACCGGAATGCAGACGCTTGTACAGCCACCTAGTTTCGGCACGTCACGTCACGTCACGTCACACACACACACACACACACACACACACACACACACACACACACACACACACACACACACACACATATATATATATATATATATATATATATATATATATATATATATATATATATATATATATATATATATAATTTTTTTCAAAGCCACTTTTAGGAAAGTGCAAACAGGCGGTCATGGGGTGTGGAAAACTGCCCCACGTTCGCACGAGTTTGAACGAAAACAAGCCCTTCCCTTACTGCACGTTGGTTGATTTCTTTCTTTCCATGCGCACAAGTCTCGTCACTAAAAAGGGTTGCGACTGGAGCAAATCAATATAAGAACATGATAAAAGATGACCAGTGCATGTCCCCGTAACAACCACTTGCCATTATTTTCAGAGCATCAGTCTTGAGCGCTCGACTGGCTAGCGCTTGGGTCCTCTTCACTGCCTTCTTTGTCCCTGTCTTGTGCTACTACACAGAGCTTCTGTTGCAGTGTTCACAGTACCTTATGCACCAACAAGACCAAGATGCTCTCCTCATCCTCGTCTTTCATACGCTCCATGGTAGCTTACGCAATGTGTACATGTGAATACAGAACATGGTACTAGCACGAGTAGCCCTTGAAAACTCGCTTTTAGACAGCTTTACTGGCTGCGCTGTACTCTATACGTCTCCTACGTAGAAAATATTTCAGCTAGCTGCAGATTCATCGGAATCGCAGCGTCTGAGAGAGCTACCGCCTTCACTTGCTGTCGTCGCGTCACCACGTGAGACGCAACCGCGACGTTTGTAGTGAAAGCGAATCTCGCGTTGGTTGTGCAATCGGAGCGTTCGACAGCCTCGCGCCGTCAGCAGCCGCATGTCAAAACACGGGACTTCATCGCGACCAGCTGAATCGACTGGAAATGCGACACCAACTGCGGCCAGGCCTGTGAAGTTTTTTTTTCTTTTTCTCAAGCATGGATCTCAAGCCGATCATTGACGCAATACACGTCTCCGGAGTCTTCAGGACGTTAACCTCCGCACATTTCGGCGGGAGGACAAAACGCTGACGGCGCTCGGAAACCGAACGCCCGAACTCGTATCTCGTCGGGCCGGTCTGCTGCCCCGTGCAGGGTCGGGCAGCACCATCACTCATCGTCATGTACTCGCGCGAGACGAGGCCGTCGGGGCAAGCCCCACTCACGCCGCCACTTTCCAGACTTTCGCTTACGCGATAATTGGCGAGCCCCCACCACAGCCTACGAGCCACGGTGACGCAAAAATGACGTCATCCTTATCAGAGTTCCGAATTGAGCCACCAGCGCAGCTCCTTACTCGGACAAGCGCCGTTGTGGCGCTCTGCGGGTCCATCTCTGATTGCACTTTCGGCGGAAACGCACGAATTCCCCGAAGAACTCGCGGCGTAGTCGAGGTCAGCCGGAATTCGGAGAAAGTGTCGCCAACAAGATGTCGCACGTGTCGTTTATTTGACGAAGGAGGCAGAGGCTTGTCAGGTGATCTGTGCCACTGACCTCGTATCCATGTACACCAACGCTGTGAAATTACTAAGCACGATAAAGTGCTATTCCGTCGCGACTCCAGCAGCAGATGAAGATACCGTTTGTTGTCGGGCGAAAGCATCCGAAGAAGAGAATATTATATTTCCAGAAGGTCGTACGTGTTGTGAGGATTGCATAGTCCGCGGTTTTAATAGTGTAATACGAAATCTTTGACATAACATCGAGCGTGGAAGGACTGCAGTGTGCCGTCAATCACAAATGGGCGAATTCATCTCAACACAACAAACGAGAGCAGAGCTGGCTGTGCGAGTTTGTCGGTTAAAAAAAAAAACGCTTCAGTTAAAATTTGCAGTCCAGCTAAAGCATGTGAATTTGAGTCTTTCGTATACCGTGGTTTCTTTTTAACCCTGAGCGTTGTGGTCGCTGCTGTGACCTCAGTGCAGGCAGAATGATCTGCACTTCCATATTTGCGACTCTTTATAATCTTCTTTTACTATAGGCAGTGCCATGAAACATACGCGCTAAGCTGAAGTGAAGTTTAACTGAGAAAGAGGAAATGATAATATTCGGGGCTTTGCGTCCCTTTGCCCCGCCGCGGTGGTCTAGTGGCTAATGTACTCGACTGCTGACCCGCAGGTCGCGGGTTCAAATCCCGGCAGCGACGGCTGCATTTCCGATGGAGGCGGAAATATCGTAGGCCCGTGTGCTCAAATTTGGGTGCACGTTAAAGAACCCCAGGTGGTCGAAATTTCCGGAGCCCTCCACTACGGCGTCTCTCATAATCATATGGTGGTTTTGGGACGTTAAACCCCACAAATCAATCACTTGCGTCCCAAAACCACCATATGATTATGAGAGTCGGCGTATTAAAGGCTCCGGAAATTTCGACCACCTGGTGTTATTTAATGTGTACTGACATCGCACAGAACATGGACCTTAAACATTTCACCACCTCCGAATTGCAACCGCCGCGGCTGGAATCGAACCCGCGACCTTCGGGTCAGCAACAGAGCAACGTAGCTACTGATCCACCGAGCCGGACGATTAAAAGGAAAGGAGGCACGTACGGAAGTCGACACCTAGGGGTGAACTGAAGCGAGGTTTGGTCAACCGTGTATATGTTTCTGAGAAGCTTAACAAAATTGGCGCATGAGGTACGTAACCGCCTAAAAACATATAGTATTGAATGGGCATACAGGCGAGAAAATGAAGGTTAGCCGTGACGGTCATTTTTTTTTTTCACCATCGACAATGAGGCGAATGACACCGAGGAAGGAAAAACAAACAGCTGGCGGGAGTATATAGCGAACGGTGGACATTTCGCAAAGCCGCGTTCTGCGTCTCGATATCGGGTGTCGGCTCGAGTCGACCGTGAGCCGCTTATCGGATTGTGGCTCGATTTCGCCGAGAAAGTGTTGCGACGGCGTCCAAGGTCGGCAAACACCACCTC